AACTGAAGTAACACCTTGTTCACGCTGCATGCGACACGGAAAACCATGGCTGCTTGATGGTTGGTTATGGGAATATATATATATATATATATATATATATATATATATATATTTATATACATGTATATAATATGAATGCTGTGCACTAGTGGATATCATCGGAACAAGTGAAGATAGCATTAGATCTCTTAGCCAACAAATTACCAAATTGATCTGACGCCACGTTGCAGCTGATCACCAGGGTCAGTACTTTGCCCATGCAAAGGCTACTGCGAATGAAGGCGGAGTGGTTGCCCAGGGCGACCTCTCTGAAAATGAGTAGTGCAAGACGCGGCCCAAGGCTTCCATTGGAAGTCCTCTCAGTGAACGTACACTCGTTCGTAGTGTACTGGTGGTAGGAGCGTGTGCTGTGCCATCAGAGCTACTGTCTCATGTGTGATGGCACAAAGCATAATATCGCCACGGTTTATGCGCTTTGCAACGGCTTGTTCCAAACCTTCGCGCCTAAGTCGCCAATCTAAAAGAATATTTAATTCACAGACGACGGTGCTGCACAGCACAAAAAGTACACCTTCATCAATGTGTGCCACCATGAGGCTGACTTTGGTGTGAGTGACTTCATACCACGGGCATGGCTGAGCGTGCCACAGCACAATAGAGACTCAGGCGCGCCCGAAATGGGCAAATACTGACCGTGGAGGAAGCGTTCAAATTTCTGTCGGAGCAGCTGGTCAGCAGAACCACGTTCATCTATGGGCCTGGGTAGGAGGTGACGGGCGTCGCGAACAACCTCACGGAACGCTTTCCAAATGCTGGCACGGCGAAGGGCACTGGGGGGCTTTCACAAGTGTCCCAGCGTGACCGACGACGCTGGGGGCTCATCATCTGTCCCCCGACTAGGGACGTGTGGTCGCAGTTGGGTGGTAATATGTGGCTGTGGGCGCGCCGGGGCTAGATGTGCGGGCAAAAGAGTCAGCATATCTCATGAGCTGGCTTGCAAGTGAGAGGATCATAGCAGTGCCGCATTCAGTCGTTACATTGCGTGATGCTTTCAAGTCAGGTCATTATGTCACTCTATTGTGGGCGGCTTATGGTCACATGCAATTTGCTGCATGTGCAGCTTATGCGCTAAATCATGCGGCCGTATATGTTGAGTAATGCATATGAATATGTAAATACATTCCATAGTGAAAGCTACTTTATATTTTTCTTCTTGTAACGCTTCCAGTCTTCCCTAAAAAACCGCCGCCAAAACACACACACACACACACACACACACACACACACACACACACACACACACACACACACACACACACACACACACACACACACACACACACACACACACACACACACACACACACACACACACACACACACACACACACACACACACATGCCATGCATTTGACAAACCATCGCACCATAGCAGTGTAAAGCATCACGGCGCTATCTAAAGGCATGTAACTAAACACTATAAGTGATATGTAGATGCTGTATATAAAAACATTTCGTAGTGAAAGCCACTTTATATTTTTATCCTTATAACGCTTTCAGTTCTCTTTTAAAACAGTCAGCTTTTCAATATATTACACACACACACACACGTGCCATGTTCTTAACAAATCCATCGCACCATAGCAGTGTAAAGCAGGACGGGGCTCCGACGTCTACATCAGCACCTTTCTGCAACCAGCAGTGCTGCCACCTATATGCTTGCTTCTGCTAATGACGTGAGAATACGTAAACGCGGAAATGAAGCTGTCGTGATCACCAAATGCACACAAACGTACGCCAACCAACACACCACACGAGCACACCAACACACCAACGCGCGACCTTCTACGCACTGCTGCCGTCCGCTAGCTTGAAGAACACATCATTGGCGAGTGAGTACATGCTCTCCGCGTCCTCGCAGGGCACCGCGTCCACCGGGTAGTTGCACGTCAGCGTAAACTGGTCGAAGATGGTCTCGTTGCCGCACAGGAAGCTGTACTGGTCCGTCTGCAGGGTCTGCGGCGCACAGAGAGGTAAAGAGGGCGTGAGAACGAGACGCGGCCGCTGACCGCAGCATGCTTTACGCCAACACCATTCAATTGCCCATCCTGTTTCTGGTGTTCTTCGGAATGCGGGATAGCAATGATAATGAAGCTTAATCGTGTGTTTTACATCGCTCGAGGATAGTGTCCTCTTACTTTATAGAATGCAAAGCGAAAAGCGAATGAGCCAAATTGTGCATCGTTCCCGTACAAATTGACCGTACGCAGCCACCGCGTGAGACGCGGAACATTTGGCCGCCCGGCTTAAACAGATGCCGCCCAATTTACCTACGTCGTAATCCTAAGCTTCGATTGTTCGCGACAGACGAATCGCGATGACAAGCGCACATGCTTCGCTAGCTCACGCTCCCATCACAACAGCATGCGAGAGGTAATACCCACGATGCATCACCGGTGTATTTTCGGGTAATCATGCCGTTCAAACATCCCATTGTAGTCGGTTCCGCAACTCCTCGCTGCGTCCTCATCGGCGTCCACCGTCCGGTGCCGCCCTCCCCCTCCCCAAACTGGGTGCATACTCGGACCGTCTGCCGCCCCAGGGGTGGTTACCCAACCGCTGCACGGGCCACACCACCAGCACCGGCCCCCAAGGCGCGATGCGTTACCTCATGCCACGGAGACCTCGTGGACCCCCCGCCCCCCCCCCCCCCCCCCATCACCGCGGGACCCCCAGTCGGCGCTCACCTGTTACGGACATTGGTGAGGCAACGGACTGACGCATGGCTGCGACGCACCCTCCCCGCCGCTCCTCCCCTGACCCCCTGACCCGGTCGGCCGGCGCAGATTATGCCCCGACCTCCACGCTAATAGCTCAGTAGGCGATAATGAGCGCTGGTTTGCGGTCTTTGCATGGCCCCGGGCGGTGATGCGCGTCACGTGATGTGTGACGTCATGCTAACCCTCGTCACGTCTCCCTCGCATAATGTGCTGATGACCACCAAGCCTGCCAATTTGGTTAGTGGATAACTACCTGGGTATGATTCTGCATTCATCAGATGCGATTACGCATAGGAGCTGTGAATACCTGTTTCGGATACGTGATATGTTCGGCGTGAGCAGTAATGTCCGGAATCTCATCACCTGTATCGAAATAGCGTTTGGCTCCGGCCTTTATGCCAGAGTCTACGAATCGAAAAACCTTGCCATTTTAGCTATAGTTACCCGTGAACTGCTGGTGTTTTCTCACCTTCCGCAAAGAGTGGTGCCCTCTGTCCTCGTCCATAGCCTTGCCCAACTAGCTATGACATGCCCAACCCGTATAAATATATATATATATATATATATATATATATATATATGTATTCACCAATATCTGTAGACAGGTAGCCCCTGTTAAATAGACTGCAAAAGCTGAATTTGTAGCGAGGGCCCTCGGGCCTGCCAAGGTAGGGTGATCCCTCGCATACAAAACAAATTTTAGCTAACAAAACAAAAAGCCATTTTAGAAACATCAAACGGATAAGAAGCTCTTTGACTTGCAGAAAGGTTTTTAGACATTTTGTGCGTGAGAAGGCACCAATGGATTTCTTGGGTGTCCATGGGGTTACAAAAGGATGTAAGTGTTCTTTGCTCTGAAAGAACCCTTGGGCAGAAACTTGAGCATGTTCGATTTCTTCGGACTTGCAAGGGACCGGATACAAAAGGAGGCCAGCGGAACTGTAAAAATGAGCTTTAGTTTGAAAGTATCACAACACAGCTGCCGAAAGTCTTTTACTAAGCTATCGGTGGACTCGGGGAATCGCAACATAGCTCGTGTTCACGATAGGGTCCCCAAGACGTCCTACTAGGCATTTCGTCACATCCGAGGAGGGTGACATGTGAGGGGCCCTGGGACATTTTAGGCAAATAAGGAGTTCTGATCTGAAATATGACTCCCAAAAAGGACCTCTGATCTGAGCTGTGCGTATCTGTAATTGTGCGTATGTAATGTGCGTGCCGTGCGTGTGTGTCTGGAGAGGTATCCAGCAAAGAAACTGCCTTCATGCCTCCCCAAATCTGAGCATGATCCGGGTGATGAGAACGGTCTAACACAATGCGTCAAATGCGCCGCTGTATCATCACAGCTCAGCGTGTTTCTTGACCATCGAAATGAATGTTAAATGCGTGGAACATGGTTTTCAGCACACAGGGCTACCATCAAAATTAGCTTCGGGACGGCTGCCATATGTCGCTCCTTGTTCTGAGCCATTCATGAATGCAGGCATAGGGCCGCAAAGGCATAACCATTTCGGGTTTACCACGAGCTCGTTTAACTCTTTTTTCACGGTGACCGGATCTCTTTGAGCCTGCGAGCCAGAACAGCATTATTGCGATCTAGGTACGTCACCAAAGTCGGCTGCAAGATTAGCGGGATCCACTCCAGCCACCGCAGATCCGTGCTGTCCACCAAGCGCCAGCCACAGCTCAGGCTTCAGACGTTGGCGGGGACACCAGCTGTGCCAGGGCAGGGGCTTCTCCCGCAGCACCGCTTACCTCTCCAACATCATCGACGACGGGCACGCAGACGTGAAAGAGCCGGCAGTCGTTGGCCACGTCGGCGTAGTAGCCGTACGGCCGGCCTTCGCAGGTGAACGTCTCCACCAGGTTAGGCACGATGTCTTCAAAGCCGCTCGACAGCTGGTACGGCATGTCGGCCGTCACTATGGCAACCAGCAGGACGCTGAGCGCGACGAGCGAGAGCCGAGACATGGTACCTGCCGGACGGCACGGGGCAGCGGTGAGGACGCGCGAGTCGGCAGCGCGCGGACGGCACGGGGCAGCGGTGAGGCCGCGCGAGCTCGGAGCGCGCGGCGTGTGATCACACCGCCTCCGAATAACAGCCCAGGAGTGATTGTTGGCGCTGTCCGGGGGGGGGGGGGGGGGGGGGACGCGGTCAGACCGAACGGGCACGGGTTGGACCACAGTTTCCCCGCGGAGAAGGCCGCTCGAAGGCCGGGACTACATCTGGTGGTGCGCTGGCGTTGCGTTGTTTGCCGGCCGTGCGTGCCGGCGACGACAGTGCCAAGGACGGGACCTTGCACGACGGCAACGGCTTGGAACAATGTGGGCACCTCGGTGTCAGCCGAGAACGCCGTCATGTGTCAAATGTCAAGAGAGAGGCTTAGTTTTATGCGTGCCGTTTTTTCATGCAACCATAGACGTGATCCTGTAACATTCAAGGATGCGCCCCTTTCCCCTCTGTGGCGAAGCCTGCGTTGCGAGCCCACACCGCTAAAGAGTACCTCGCCATCGGTCAAATATTTGGGGGCGTCGATGTTTGTGTGAGGCTTTGCTTCTCACGTAACCAATACGCCCGAAGTAACATAGCGCAAAATTTCGAGAAGGAAGCTTGGTCGGCAGTTGTCTCCAGGCCTCTGATGCGTCCGCGCGTTGCCGCCGACACCTGGTTGTTGATGACCTGGGCGGCCTTCCTAGCGTCGCTGGGCAACAACTCCACTCCAGACCCGTAGAAGTGCGCCAGCAGGTCGCTGAAGGTGCGGCGCACGCTGTACCTGCGCGTGCGATAGATCCTGCTGAACACTGACGTCGTGACGCCGTTGCTGTTCTCCGACAAGACCGCCAAGGCCGAGCGGTAGCCGTCGAGGAAGGATCTGTTGTTTGGACCGGATATTCCCAGCACAGGCGTCATCTGGGTGGAGCCAGACAGGCACGCAGTGTCACATCTCTCTTCCGTGTTTCCGTGTAATTATGCACCGTCCGGACCTAGTTCACAGATAATGCTTGAACCTGTTTGAAATGTTGTGCTAATGCATCGGGCACTAAAGTTTCCAGGCACGAGTTGAACTTTCACTGCCTTTATCACCCACACGGCTGTGCCGCAACACAGGCCGTGAGAAACTCTGTGACCATAAGGCAAACTTCGCATTCCTTCCATGGTGTGCGTCCCCGACGTGCGGTCTCTGTCCCCCCTCCCCCATACAATTATGTCCCGCAAATCTTGTAGGAAATTTAATCTTTGTTTGTAGACTGAAGTTGTTCTCGTCTAGGACTTCAAACACATGTCGGAGTTTATGCTCGTTTTCATGGAGCTGCGGATCGATCCCGGTCTCGGCCACAGGCAAACCTAATTATATGAAGTGTGCTTCAGAGAAGGAAATACTGCATTATTGCTGACCCTGTATCAGGTGCTTCTCAGGTGTGTGCGTTGGCTTCCGTCGCAGGTCTGGAATCCACAGTATTGGTATTGTGACGTGCTGCATGTGCATGCCTTGGCGATTGTGCATGTACTGTTGGTGTCGCATGCGGTAGTGGCTTGCATGGTGGTTGCTTGGTGCATGTGGTCATGGACGCTCTCGTTGCTGCATGCCGCATGCCCTTATGCCAGCTCCCAGGGCTGCACGCTGTGTATGGCTAGTTGCCAGCTAATGAGTCCTTTGCATGTGTTGCAGACTGGGTGTCTAGTTCGACGGTGTACTACTTCCTGAATAAACCACAGTTTGGCAGTTGTCACAGTATCCAAAGAAGGGATCATGGTGCAACGTGTCACCACGCTGACAAGCCCTTACAACGTGGATAATAAGAGACCAAGGGTGATCAAAGAATCGCTGTTTGAATGGCAGGTAGAGTCTTTCTAGAGTCTTGCAAAGGCCCATGCTGATACGCATCCATTGCTTCTGTAGGGAGACTTTTTGGCGAGAGCAGGATACATGTGAGACGATGAAGTCAAGTACCGTTTGCATAATTCAGAAAACAGGCCGTGTACGCGACCCGTTCAACTCTCATGAAGTCGGCGCTCTCGCACACAAATGATCCCTTCAAAAGGCCTCTTTTATTGGCAGTCGGATACGTCTACGTATTTTCGGTGCATCCACTCTAATCGCAAAAATGTCAGGCGACCCTTTCGGTTTGAAACAAATGTGATTAAAACCAACGATGGCGGATGCACATGGAACAAAGGCGTACCCAATGATCATGCTGTGCTCTCAAGGATTAGCTACTAGTCCAGCAAACAAGGTGACTTTTTCACGTTTGTGGTAGAGAATGACATAAAATGGCCTGTCTACAGCGAAGGTCGCGGATTGAATCCCGATTCTTGCTACTATTATCACTGCCGCCGCCGCAGCTGTCGTGCCCTCCTCATTGACCTCCATCACCGCCTTATGGATGATGTTGCTGACAAAGGTCTTGTCCGACGATATGCCGTTGAAGTTTGCCCCCCGTTGGAAAATCCGCTTGATGCCCAGGCTTCTCATGTAGAAGGGCATCACATAGAGACCCTCGATCTTGAACGACGGCATCACCACACGCACGGTTCGCTGACGTAGCTGACTGTGTAGCCGGGTCACGTTCAGGCCGTCGAGAGACTTCCGCATCAGGGTCACGCCAGCCATGGAGCGACTGCGCGGGCGCAGCACCAGCAAGCTGTAATCTTGGTTTTGGTACGGTAACGCAACGACATCAAAGTGTGGTCGGGCGGCAGTACCAAACTCTGCCTCCACCATCATCATGTCTACCCGCCGATCACCATCCGACGTCAAGAACGGCTTCTGCCCGTGCTTCTTGAAGCCATAAAGCCAAGTGCCCTTGAAATACACGGCGCTTAAAAGCACCAGTTGAGCATTCCTGACGTCGGCACTTGACACCAGGTCCTTGATGTGTCCGCGCGTTGCCACCGACACCTGGTTGTTGATGACCTGAGCAGCCTTCAAGGCGTTGCTGGGCAGCACCTCCACTCCGGCTCCGTAGTAACGCGCCAATAAATCGCTGAAGGTGCGGCGCACGCTGAAGCTGCGCTTGCGATAGATCCTGCTGAACACTGACGCCCTGACGCCGTCACTGGTTCCAGACAAGACGGCCAAGGCCGAGCGGTAGCCGTCGAGGAAGGATCTGTCGTTTGGACCGGACATTCCCAGCACAGGCGTCATCTGGGTGGAGTAGACAGACATAACAATGTCATATCTCTCCTCCGTGTTTCATCAACAAAGATCACAGGGCGATAAATCATGTTTTATGTCCTCTGCAAGGTGAGCTGGCACATATGCCTCGAACCAGTGCAGATAGCACGCCTCACTGAACATCCATCATCTGTGGCCTCACCTCGGCTCTGGTTGTGCCTTCGGCGCCCAGCCAGACCTGCGACATCAGCAGCGACATCAGGAACGGCGAGATCACTTGGTTGTTCGTCGGATTCGACGTCACCCCCTTGAGCAGCTTCATGTCCAGGCCAGTGGGCACAGAGGCGCCTCCCAGCGTGGCCAGCAGCAAGAGTGGCGCCAGGCAGGCGCCTGAGAAGGCGGATCATCTCAGGTCTCACAGAAACCCACGCAAGTTTCATTTCTGGCGATGGCCGGCAGCGATGTGCGGCCTCGGTTGTTCTAGCGGGGTACGATAGGACCGCAACAGAGTTAGCGTTGGTTAACTGGCGATGAGCTATAAAGCTGCTAAGAATAACACTGCTCTGTGATGGTTGGCAGGTCATGACAACAAATATAAGTTTGCCGAGGTTGACACCACCACCACCGCTGGCCGCTCCGGTGCATTGCTCGTAACATCACCTATCGCCTCACTTGTTACCGATCACCGCCGCATGGATTATGAGTAGAAGACCTCTTTATAATTACCTTTCCAGGATATAGTTCAATAAAATCCTGAAATTTCAGATAGGCTTTAAACAACATCCCTTCTATTTGACAACCTCAAACTTCCGTTCTTTTCAGTTACCAATAACACAAATGTATGGCATACTGATATGTGTGAACCCATATTCCAACAGCGCTTCTGTTACAAGATGCAATTGCACCGTAAAAGAAACGCACTCACGTCGTTGTAAATAGGTGGGATCTGCGCAAAATCATTTTTGGGAATGAGAACGTAAAACGTTGAGAAATTCCCTTTATTTAGTGAGAAACTCTTTGTGTCTTGCGACTTTCCGTTCAGGTGGCAATAACTCTCCAAAGTGCTTGCCTTACATGGTCCATGGAAGACAAGGTCGCAGTAGGGATGCATTAATCGAGCCAGCCTTTTCCTATGTGGTGTTGCGGCCAAATACAAAGAGTAAGTTCAGCGATATTTCAGGCTTTGTTTAAACTGCTGGAGTTGAAACGATAGTTTTTGTATGGATTTCTGCGTCTTGTGGAAAAGTAAAACGTAGAGTTGGGGATTACACCAACTTTGTTAGCATTGCCATTCGACTATCAAAACTGTTCAAGTTCCTGTGGTATCACCTAATGTTATACCCAGTCCACCCCTAATCCGCCGAGTTCCATCCGTGGAGCATTTCGTAGCCCACAGATTATTCAACATGTGAACGATTTTAACGTCCGCGTGATAAAACGGCTCGGCTCCAAGGAAACAGGAATATGGTCATCTTAATGAGACGAATGCATGTCTGTTGGTGGCTTTGTACCTTTATATATCGACAACCCAGAAATCTACATTGATATGTAAGTGAGTCAGTCCGCTCGTCAAACCACTCTAGCGGCGTGTGCCAGCTCTCACCGGTATTGCGCCTCGTCATGTCCTCGTAGTGTCGATTGGGAGAAGAAATAAACCTGTAGTTGATGTCCGGTCCTGTTCACTTCCAGAAGTGACGATAGAATGAAGGCAGGATCTGTGGGATATGACACAACACGCTGTGTAACTTGAGCCATGGGATCAGTTTCAAGGTTTTGACCTTAGGTCGACTGGTTTATAACACCCCATGTAACAGCACAGCTTGACGTAAGCTGTTCTGTAGAGGCATATGGTGAAGCTTTTTGCCCGATGTTATTTGCGCTTTGTGAGATAAAGCCCGTGCAGTCTTTAAGTCAGTGATGTTTACCCAAAGCGTTCTGTATGTTCTAGAAAAGCTCTGCATGTTCTATAAAAGCTCTGCATGTTCTATAAAAGCTCTGCATGTTCTATAAAACTGCCATGGCTATACAATTGCTGCATACCATTTGAAATGCTATAAGTCTGAGAATGTAGCACATACTTTGTTTGCAATGCCAGAAAAGCTATTTCGTGATCTCGTTTGACATTTTGGTAGAAGATCAAGGGTAATGCATTAGTTCTCAACTGTGAGAGTATGACTTCAGTAGCTAGTTTGAAGGTTTTGGCTCATGTCACACCAGTGCTGAAAAATGTGTTTCCCCGTGGAAAACTCTGCTTTCCTGCTGAAAGCGTGCATAAACGCCATTATGCCCTGGTAGGATGGATACAAAAAGGATACATTTGCCCTACGCATCGCATCCGATATCATCCTTCCCATCGACCTAGCAGCATGTATAGCTTTCCTGTAAGCTTTGCTCGCTTTTCATTGCGCTCGAAAAACACTGCATGCTACAAAAGTCGATACCGAAAGCAATTTTCATTTCTTAGATCCCCAATAAGGTATTGTCTAAAATCATGTGGTTTGACACTACTCACCTGAGCGGCGCTGTTCACTACCCGAAAGGAAGGAAAACATTGACTGATGACCCTTGCTGACGGCTCATATATGCACCTAATGACTCATTCACGCGACACATCAACCCCTGACCGGTCCGTCACTGGCAAAGGTGAGCACGCGGTGGCATGCTGTGGGCTGATGCAAGGCCCTATGATAACACATGAGGTGACAGGATCTTATTCGCCTATTCAATAAATGATTGCAATAATTGCAGAACTCCAATCGCATCTCGTTGGCACATTATCACTGGGTAAGCATTGGGGGAGCCCGGAGTGGCCTCCACTCCATAGTCCTTTCCGGATTTGTCTTGAAAACTACTCAAGGTATATTCAATATTTATATGTAGGTGCAAACCTTGGTCCTGCTGTATTTGTCAAAAAACACGAAAACTACTATTTGATATATGGTATGGTTTTGTCATGTTTCGTAAGGCATTAATTTTTTCCGGGGTAGGCCCGCCGGCGGGGAATCTCGCCAACTCCCAACATTACTTGAGTGATCTATCTAGCCAGGTCTGCCCCGTTTGCGTGCGCTATCTCTTCACGTCCAAACATGAACCAAGCAACATAAGCCACTCGGTGTGCGTTGGCCAGCCAGTGGATGTGGGTGTCGAGCTTAGATTTAAGTCTCAATGAAGTCTCAAGGTCACCGTCCTATCCACGTGAGCTGGCTTGGCAGTCGTCCTGTCCACCTGAGCTGGCGTGGTCACCGTTTTGTCCACCTGAGCTGATGTGGTCAACGTCCTGTCCGTCTGATGTGGCGAGGTCACCGTCCCGCGCACGTGAGCTGGCTTGGCAGTCTCCTATCCACCTGAACTGGGGTGGTCACCGTCCTGTTCACCTGAGCTGGCTTGGCAGCCCTCCTGTCCACCTGAGCTGGCTTGGCAGCCTTCCTGTCCACCTGAGCTGGTTTGGCAGCCGTCCTGTCCACCTGAGCTGGCGTGGTCACCGCCCTGTCTACCTGAGCTGGCTTGGCAGCCGTTCTGTGTACCTGAGCAGGCGTGGTTGCCGTCCTATCCACCTGAGCTGGCTAGGCAGCCGTCCTATCCACCTGAGCTGGCTTGGCAGCCTTCCTGTCCACCTGAGCTGGCGTGGTCACCGCCCTGTTCACCTGAGCTGGCTTGGCAGCCGTCCTATCCACCTGAGCTGGCGTTATCACCGTCTGTCCACCTGAAGCGGCGCTGCCACCGTCTGTCCGCCTGAAGCGGCGCTGCCACCGCCCTATCCACATGGGCCGCTATTGGCCATGAAACTGCTCCTGCACTCAGAACCTTTTGTTCTAAAACCTCGTTGTGAACGAAGCTCCTCAGGTTCCCTCCCCCCTCCCCCCCCCCACGCCACCCGAGCTGAATGAGTGAGCGCCACTAGCATTTGAATCCCATGGTGATAGCGTCTTGGTTTCCCACGATGGAGCGCCAAGCTCGAGCAAGAACATCATCCACATGCTTATCTGTAATTGTTTGCCCTGGATTGGCTTCACACTGGAAGCTGACTTGACCGGTCCGTGCTCTCTTCAGTGGTCCGTACATGGGCAGTTTCGGGGTCTGTACCACGTACGAGCTGCGCGGTGGGATTGTGTACTGTATGACAACAAAAGTTCCTTCTTGGATACTCCACTGTTCACGTCAGTTAAATATATTGTCGTGCAATATCATGTTATTAAAGGTTTACCGCAAATCCACACATCATAGCCATCAGAGCAGTATACCAAGTTACACCATGCTGCAAACTTTCATTGAGACTTACATCTAAGCTCGACACCCACATCCACTGGCTGGCCAACGCACACCGAGTGGCTTATGTTGCTTGGTTCATGTTTGGACGCGAAGAGATAGCGCGCGCAAACGGGGCAGACCTGGCTAGATAGATCACTCAAGTAATGTTGGGAGTTGGCGAGACAGCTCGACAAGCTTATGTGCGCATCGTAAACACGCGCCCGGGGTGGCCGGTCGAACAACCTTCTCCCGGTAAGGGAGGGGGCAATTTGATCCTTTGAGATCTCAAAGGCTAAACAAGCTAGCGACACCAAATGCACAAGGTGTGTTGGCCTGTATGTGAACTCGTTTGTTTCAAAATGTGAGACTCTTAGGTCATGACATTTGGATCAAATAGGGTCAAACAAGGCCAAACTCCAGATTGATATTCAAGATACTCTCAGACTTTCTCGTGCAACCCTCGTGAGCCTAGAAAACTGTTCTGAGCAAAAGCTTACTGAAGCCCATTAAAGATCAGTGACCTTATAAGACTGCCTTGATGGTTTAGGCCTGAGTTTCATCTGTTACGGGTCAGCGACCTTACGAGGTACGACTAATTTTCTGACACCAAAAGATTCGCTATTGAATTGTTAACTGCTATGCAAATTTGTCGCAGCCATCCCACGTTGTTCGGCAATCATTCCTGAAAAACCTTCGGGGTGGGGGTGGGGAAGCCAAATTGACCGCCACCCGATTAATGCATGGGGTAAGCCCGATCATTTGTGGCATAAGTGGGCGGCGTTACCGTGATTTCTCTAATAGCGTTTACCAATGGCTCAAATTATTAAGGACCATATTGACGCTGAAATGTTTCTTTGTTCTTCATTCCAGGCACTACAATCACACTGGATATAGTTTCCAGATTTCCTGGCAGCCGCGGACATGGAAGTCATGGTCTTACAACAGCGCACCCAGAAATAGAAAAGGCAAATTATTCATGAGAAACCAGTGAAATCTAGATCACCCTCTATGTCCGTCATCCGCGCAACCTTCAGCGGAAAAGGTCAGCTCAACTTCCTTTGTCAATATTATGCTCAGGGGAGTGGCCGACATTACCCCGTGGTCGGTCCCACGCCGTCTTCGCCTGTAATCCGAAAACTAACAAATTTGTGGAGTAGTGTTCTCATTAGCCCACAAATGCGACTAAATGTGGCAAGCTGTAATTTCTGATGTCTCGGAGCATCAGGAAAAGTGCACTGCCTATGCTTGTCATAACTGCATTTTACTCCGTTGATTGATCATCTGACTCTCGTTTAAGATTTGATTTACATATATAAGATTAAGGTTTACAAGATTTGGGTTAACGTACGCCTTCTCCCAATCTAATACAGCCCACACATTGTATCTAATTAGCATATTAATGCAGGCTTGTCAGTGCTGGGCCAGTGTCCAATGGTGAAGGGGCGCAAAGTGAGGTGAGGTGGGGGTGGGGGTGGGGGTTTTGCAGTGGAAACGACCCAGCCCGCCCCAAAACACATTAAACTCTTCAGTGTTGTCCCGCTTCCTTCTCAAAGTTGGTGAGTGTGTGTGTGGGTTTGGGGGGGGGGAGAGGAGAGGGAGGGCGGGACTCCACCTCTGAATACGAACTACACCCCTGCCAGTGGTGATTATTAGAACTAGGCACGTCTTGAAGTGCCCGGCGTCAAGTGTGCACCTCCACCACCCATTAAAATTCCCTTATGTACCCATTAATGGTGCAATTACCAACATATGTCATAGTTAGAGCATGCCAATTGCGCCACACCACTGATGCATCGCAACATTCCATCATGATAAGTGGCGTAGCCGGACTTTCAACGTGGGATTTGGGAGTCTTGAACAGTACTTTCAAGAAGGTGCTTCCAAACCCTCTTTGAAGCCTCAAGTGTTTCACTTCCCTATATTTGTTTGCTGTAAACAGTGTAAGGCAAACACTGGTCCTTCAGGCACAATGCTTTGGTAAAGAGTTGGTTCTGTGTGGTTCCAGGGGATTTAGCCTCGAGTGGGGAATGGGGTCTCACTTTCTCTCCAGGAAGTGTCAGATACACTGTGGCGCCTCAGTGGCTGTTCTCATGATCATCATAAAATTAAACTACTAACAATCAAGAGTCCCCTGACATTTCAAGACTACTTGCACCATAAAATGTCATGACGCAGTAACAGTTAGTGACTTTTAACTGTTAACAATGCATTTTCCTGCCGTTCTTCACCGAGATAACCTTTCATATTCTTGGAAATTTGCCAGCCACAGCTATCAGTGTTGTGTGATGGATAGATCGATAATGCTCCCTCCCTCAAAATCCCGTCAGACTTCTGGAGCTGGTTGACTCTGCTTGGTAACTAGAAGTGTCACTTT